CCAAGCTCCCACTCTAACATTGAGGGTAAACACACCTAAAGATCGAAGGAACATAGAATATACTGAACAGGAGTGTAGCTGACACATTCCTTGACCTTTAACTGGCACCACTTAAATCCTTTGGATAATTCTCGTTGAATAACGAACTCAAGGACCAATGTTTTCAAATACCTTGACACCCAAACCCGAGAAACCACAACCCACCTGGAGCTGAACATACCTGCTTCTGAAAAGGGTTCACCAACCAACATCTGCCCAACAAATCTGAAAGTAGCAAACCAAACAGCGAACTGACAGAACCCTCAATGACTGACGTTCAACCTGAGAATCTCAATTCTCCCCCCTCCCTTAGAACTCGAACCACTGCCCACTGGTGGTGAAACCAAAACATAACCCAAGCAGCCCATTCAGGTACAACCATACTTGACCATGAAATGAATATCATCCGTAGAATGCATGGTCCTCCAGATACAGATCAAACGAACCCTAAGAGAAACCTGAATACCAGCTGAAGACCTCTGAATTTCCAATAATAACCACTTACAAAGCATAAGAAATTACCGATTTTCAAACCAAACATACACCTCATGCTTGCAACCCACACGACAATCCGACACCTGGCTTCTCCATCTCCCAAGGATACGGCCCTTGCTTACATCGCCAAGGTACTCCATCCATATCAAACCACTTGCGCACACCGATGCTGACATACTGTCGCCGACTACCGCAACCAATAGGTCTCAAGCTGAGAATCGAACCTAACTCGCAAAAATTGAAGGGCAAGATCCTTGCCACCAATAACGACAATCTAATTCGACAATCTGCCACTTAAATCACAGATGCAATTCCAAACCGATCATATCAACCACTTCCTCCCTGTGCCTCGAGGCCCAACGCACGGCCTCTAGACAAACGTATGAGACCTCCAACCAACATACTCATCCGGGTCTGAACCACTCAACCCACATCAATATCGCCAGAGGGACCCAAACAAACACAAAACCCATCCTCGCCTGGCAGCCTACTCCAAAAGACCGATAGATACTGAACCACTGCCTCGAACCATGGTATCCAACCATGCTATCTTCCCTGACCAGCCCTTAGATTCCTTGAAATATTCCTTGAATGAAGTATGGATCCTGTGCTTTCAGGTAGTACGGGCCCAATACTACCTTCCACACCTATCCATACTTTCCTCAAGAATTATCTCGGGTCCTCTACGACCTAGTCATAAAATATTCCTGAAACCTGCTCAACTGCGAAAAAATCGCACTAGAGGACTCCCTCGGCTATCCTAGGGTTCCAGACTTCTTTGCCATCAACTGCTGAAGAACTCCTCACAATGTCTATTAGCTATTTCATGAATACAATCACATGCAACAAAGCTCAGATAATCCTTCGAGTAACAGACTCATTCCTACAACGATTGGACACAAACGAGAGCTGTGCAGTAGAGTCAAATCCGTCACTATGAGATTATCCAACCTTTTTCACATGTGACTTGACATATTCATCCAATAGCTAACTCACATTACTCATGAGTTCCACACAAATCAAGCAACATTCGTGCAGAGGAGTTGACTGACACTAAAAAGCAATAAAACGGACATATCCTCATACGAAATCCTCGATCTTCAACTCCCTGCACCATGGGTACACCTTCGCCCAACTCTCACTCTCCCCAAAGTGGCTAATCATTCCTCGCGCTGACCCGCTAGACACTGCACCCACTCATGAAACTTCCACCAACCCTGCAGCACTCGTATATGCTAGCCATACATAACGCTGGATCTTATAGACAGCTGAATACCTGATCCTACCCTAAGCCCTTCATCAAACAAGAACAAGAAATAAGGCCAAATCAAACATTCCCAGGCTATAGAATGTTAGTTATGTACAACTATGATGCATACACTAAGCAAATACAGTAATGATGTCAATTTCATATAAAGAAAAATCCTAGGCTATCATGCATCATATAATCAGGCAATTCTATCATGCAAATCCTGAAGATCCCTAGCCTATCACTAGCATGTTATTCTAACATATCACAAAATCAAATAACAATATGGTATTTTGGGGTCTACTTACTGGCTCCGGCTGATCGTACACATCGCATCCTCCTTAAGTATTTTGAAAATCTTTTTTCCTTAGTTTGAGATTGGATTCACACGAGTGTTCCTCCAATTCACTCAAACCAAGGCTCTGATACCAACTTGTAACATCCATAAAATTTCATAAAATTTAAACTTTTCAAAACAATGCTTTTTCTATCGAAGTGTTTACAAAAACCGTTGTTACCAAAACATTATTTAAAAATCAGAATCTCTTTCAACATAGTTTTCAAAACATTTACGTTATCAGAGTTTCCTAGAAATGATAAGTCCAAAACATGAGGATGTGTACGGTCACGCCTTCACCTTGCCACGATGCACTGAAGTACCTGAAACCATAAAGCAAAATTGTAAGCACGAAGCTTAGTGAGTTCCCCCAAAGTACCAACACTCAAACATATAACATATATAAATAACAACATATATTGGGTCCACAGCTAAAAGACTGGATTACCCCTTGATCTCACAATATGAGTCTGGCTTGCCTATCAGGCCCACAACTCATATCTGGCTTGCTCTCGATCCCACATCATAAGTCTGGCTTGCCCTTGGGCCCACAAATTATGTCTGGCTTGCTCCCTCAGTCATTGGATATGAATACCAATGAGGATCCCTCAGTACGAGTCTGGCATACCACGCGGTCCTCAGCTCGTATCTGGAATGCTAATGAGCCCTCAGTATGAGTCTGGCATGCCCTCCCTCGCCCTCATCTCATATCTAGAATGCTAATGAGTCCTCAGTATGAGTATGGCATGCCCTTCCTGGCCCTCAGCACATATCTGGCATACCCCAGGGTTTGTTGGCTACAACACAAAGCAATACAACCTCAACCAAACCTACGCAATATGTCGACATATAACAGATAATATCACATACAGATAAACAGACAGTATCACAGGTAGTCCTATAGATCTACCAGACTAACATATCAAGACCAGCATAACCAAAATAACATTCGTATCAATCACATACTCGGCATATCAACAATATCAGGCTATCAACAAAAGTGTCGGCCTTGGTGCCTTCGACCCGAAAGTACAGTGAGGAAAACTCACCTCGAATGCAGAAGCTCCCTGAAAGAAAATCCTTAGCTGTTGCCCTGCCGGCTTCCCGAGCTATCAATACGAACAACACACCCAATTAGCAATTGGGTTCCATGCGATAATCCATAATCCTTACTTGGGTAAAAATGACCATTTTACCCCTGACCCAATCATGAACCAAAATTGAGGCCCAAAACCAAAAGATCCACAACGGCCCACTAATGGCCTAATTTTCCAAATTGGGCCCAACCCCATATAGGTATTATCCTAAGCCCATAATTTTCCTTATTACAATTCAGATTACTTCAAGCACCCTTTGGGACAAACTTGGTCAAAGACATAAATCGAAACTCAAAATCAACAGTCCAAGTTGACCCAACTCGACGAGTTGTCCTTCAACACGTAGAGTTTCTCCATCAATCTACACAGAGCGGGAAAAACCAAGTCAACTCACCGAGTTCCTCCATCAATCTGAAAATGTGGGGGATAACCGAGCCAACTCATTGAGTTTATCCAACAAACTCGCCGAGTTCGCCAGAAACCCACCTCTTAACACATTAAGCACTTAATCCATGAAGACATGACTCCAAAACATAGATCTGACTTCCTTGAGCTGAAAACCACGTAAAGTTGCCAAGTTTACGTTCATGCATGTCTAAATGAAGCTCTTAAACTTGGAATGGACTTAATAATTGACTTAATGCATGCATGACACCAAAATCCTCATGGAGTTTGCACCTTTTAGCTCAAGGGTATCAAAACCAACTCAGATCTGAAAGAACAACCCCTTGAGTGACTTTACTCCATCATCATCCCCAAAAAGAGGCCAAAACACAACAAAACCCAAAATAAGGAGATCTAATGATCTAGAAGTCAAGGTATGAACTTGATACCTTAAAATGACTATAAGAAATTGAATGATTATGGATCCAAGACTTCCTTATCCAAGCTAGAAACTTCAGGATCTTCTAATTCCTTTACAATGCACAAAATGAACACCAAACTTCCTTCGAAGGCTCCAAAAACATGACAATGGAGGCTACAACTTGTTTTAGGGTTTGGACAACAATGGAGGCTGATAAGGAGGCCAGAAAAAGGACTCAAGGACTTTAAACAGGGTGCAAGACCCTAAAAATTAGGGTTTCCTTCCCAACTGCCAACTCGTCGAGTTGAGGCTCCCCAACTCGTCGAGCAGGTTCATTAAACCCTTGTGATCCATCCATCTTCAACACGACGAGGTGGTCCCTCCAACTCGTCGAGTTGACCTAGAAATAGGGTTATTCTCAACAATTTCTCTTCATGAATTCGAATGTTACAAAAAATGGAATTTTTGGGTCTTATTTTCTGGATGTTTTACTTTTGATCTCCGAAATTCTATGATCATCATCATGATCTTTTTGTGGTATGATTGAATTCAGGTAAAAAAAATATGATAGAACAATGTCTATGGAATTACATGAATAAGAAACAGGCGATGGGTATTCTCTATTAGAAACAAAACATTGAACCTATCTTTACAAAACTTGGTATATATTGTAATTTGAATTAATTTTTTTTATCTCATTTCATAAAATTTTCATGATTATATAATTTATAACTTCTTAATTTCAGTTTGGAGAAGGCTTGAAGAAGAAAATCAAGAATTCTTCACGATATATTATCTGAAGTTAGCATTGAAAAATAAAATAACGCAATTTAACGATCTGCTTTATCAACAAATGCCAGCTGATTTAAATCAAGCGAATAACCCACATGGAATTGTGTGTAATGGATCTCATTTACATGGAAGTAATTTTGTTTTCCATCAAGGAGTGAATCATAATAATGTGCCGAAAATGTTGCCATGAAAGCGGAGAACATGCAACAATACCATTTTTCTGCGGTGGTGCAGGGCGGGTTTAATGGTGGTGAACCGTTTGTACAGTCGGTGATGCAAAATGGTCTAGTGAATATGGTGGTGGGTAGTCAGAACGTAAATGGGGTTGAAGTTGGTGGACTTGATGGGTATTTTGGTAATTCGGGGTTTTCTATCAAGGCAATGGAATGGAATCACATCAGGATGTTTCATCATTCGGAAACATGGATTCCATTTCGGCTTCATATCGGTTAAATGGAACAGTTATGCATGACACTCTTTCATTTCATCAAATTTTGTGACAGTTTGGTCAGGGTGAATCGAGATCTGACGTCACTTATACTACAGGTTCTCTCTCTCTCTCTCTATCTCTCTCTCTCTCTCTCTCGATGTGTGTGTATGTTGTGGTTAATTTTTATGTGATTCTTTTCAGGAGAAAACAATAAGAGATTTGGAGATATATCAAGAAACTTTGGTTTTCATAATTTTGGGAGAAATTTGTAGAACAATAAGAAATAGTGAATAACTAAGGTAATGATTGTTATTGAGAACTACACAAAAGCTTATTGCCACTTCTTGATTTTGAAATGATTAAACTTATAATTGTGTAACAAAAGATATATAAACTATAAACCTAATGGATTTTATAAATATTTTTAAAACGATATCAATACTGAATTGTGATATGATTAATTTTTGTACTTTCATTTTTGTAAAAGAACATAAAAGATTTTGTGATTTAAGATTAGTATAGGTTAACTAAAGAGAAAATTACAAAAATGACCACGTTTATAATTACATATAACTTATTATATATATATATATATATTATATATATATATATATATATATATATATATATATATATATATATATTAGTTTTAGTAAATCACATCATTTAAAAGATTTTGTTAATACATGTTATATATCAAGGGTCTTTGTGTACTTTATAGAAACTTCAGGGTCAATTATGCAACTTAGTGATAGTTTGTTATAGTATCGTCTTGTATATAACTTGTAACAATTTTCAGGTCAAAGTAATAAAATCATTTTCCTGATTCATCATCATTTTGTATCTCGTAATATGGTATCAGAGCGGAAATTTATGATTCCGATTGAATTTTCCGATCATCTTCTTCGCTTCTCCGATCAACTACTCCACTGATTGTGTTTTCTTTTCCTAATCAGTCATTCCGATGATTTTCTTTTCATTCAAAACTGATGTCGACAACTAATCATGGATCATCTGGTTCGTATGTTGCTCCTGACTGTATGCATCCGTATTATTTTCATCATTCAGACAGTCCTGGATTCGTACTCGTTTCTCAATTACTCGCTGGTGACAATTATAGTTCATGGAGTCAAGCGATGAACATTGCTCTCTCTGTGAAGAACAAAACTTGATTTATTGATGGTACTCTTTCTAAACCTAACTCTTCTGATCCTAACTATAGTGCATGGATGCGTAACAATAAGCTTGTTATTTCTTGGATTCTCAATTTTGTATCCAAAGAAATCTCTACAAGTATTTTGTTCACTAAATCTGCTTATGAAATTTGGGAAGATTTAAAGGACCGATTTCAACAAAATAATGGTCCTCGACTTTTTCAAATTCGAAAAGAACTTGTTAATCTTTCTCAAAATCAGGATTCAATTGGAGTTTATTTCATAAAACTAAAATGTCTCACTGAAGAACTCGTGAATTTTCATCCTCACTGCACATGTAATAAGTGTGAATGTAATGGTGTTCAAGAAATCAAATAGTATTTCCAAATAGAACATATTATGAACTTCTTGATGGGGTTGAATGATTCTTTTGCTCATACTAGAGGACATATCCTTCTTATGGATCCTCTTCCTTCTGTCAATCGAGTGTTTTATTAACTCAATAAAGAAGAGAAACAAAAATCTATGACAAATGATTCTTCTCAATATATGGCTTTCATGGCTAGAGCTACCAATCAAAACAATTCATGCAAGCCTCAAAACAACAACAAATATTATGCTAACAGAGATAGACCTTTTTTTTACTAACTGCAAGTTTCAAGGTCATATTGTTGATAAATGCTATAATCTCCATGGATATCCGCGTGGTTACAAACCAAAATACAAAACAAATCATGTTGCTGCAGTCAATACTAATGAAGATCCTCAAATTCAAATCAATTCTATTCAGAATGATTTGTCCAACATGTTTAAAGGATTTTCTCAAGACTAATGTCAACAAATGATGTCAGCTTTATCAAAATCATATGATCAATGTGATGGGTTTCGAGCATTCTAACAGTCCTATGGTGTACATGCAACCCTATAAACCTTGGATCTATGTTTTCTCTATTATACATGCAAAATATTTGATATTCCAAGGTTTCATCCTAACTAGCATAATATGAAGCAACTATACTACAAAAGCCTAGTTAGATGACATACCTTTTGATGTAGCTTGAAGTCTTGAACTTTAAGAGCTTAGCCCCAATAGTGTGGAAGCCTCAAGTGGAATCACAAATCACCAAAAACACATTGGAAAACTTGAGAGAATAGTAAGCACACTAGAAATTGGCCCACTCTTGTTTACTCACACACTAGTGCCATTTCATGTGCCAAGGACCTCTTTATATAGTATGGAGGATTAGGGTTACATTCATGTAAACCCTAATACCCATGACCTTTCATTTCCATAGGATCCATGGGTTAAAAAACTCCATGGACTTTCCATGCAAGCTTAGCCCAACCTAAATGAATTTGGCCCATTCCATATATATATATATAAGAGTCCATATTTAATTAGTTCATTTTGATTACTAAATTAATTCTAAAATTAATTCTTGATCAATACTAATTAAATAATATGATTTCATATTAATATATTAGAACTTATAATATATTAATATAAATCATAAACATACTATTCTTAAAAGACTATCCATATAAACTGTTCCGGTGAAGTGCAACCCAAATGGACCATGCTACTCTCGGGTCGAATACATACCAATAATAGTTATGGGTTTAGACATCTAATCCAATAGTCTCCCACTTTGATAAGTCTAAAACTATTATTGCATATGACTCCAAGATCCCGACTAGCAATCGTAGCTGTTAAAGCCGCTGCCGAACTCTGACCTAGTCAAATGACTTGTCCATTAGATAAGGGATCATATATTCCTCCATTCTAGATATCATATGGACTGAGACATGGATTATAATCATTCTCTCTGTCCATTTTTTGTTTCAGGATTTCCGATTTATGACGACTGACTAATTGAACAAACCAAATCAGTCCAGGCTTGGCCAAGCACTTAGGGGTGTCATCACTAAATCATCAAGGGGCCCACAGATATCGCTTTTATCCCTCCAAGGGTAAAAGGAATGTATAAACTTCGACTCATATGCTTGTCCTACTACTTGTTGAATCATACACAAAGGCACATTTTATAACATCGAGTTACCGAATGCGTTTTCGTGCAATCAATGTACAACCAACTCATAGTAACAACTCATATCTCTAGGTTTGAAGAATATAAGATATTAACGTCTCATGATCACTCGTGATAAAATCCATGAAGTGATTCAAATGAGCGTGGGTTTAATCCAATACTCAGAACTTATGAGCATTCATGAATGTTGTAGCAACTCTTGCTATGTCCAACACCTTAGACATCTACAAGCTAACTTCATGACAGTCTTGATTCATACCTACTTCCAACATATGACCGACTCTGGAGAATTTGAATAACCCAGTTATTCAGGAAGTCAAAACATGCAAAGTAAAACACAAGAATAATACTAATTCAATATGGCCCCAAGCACCTTTGAGAGTAAATAGAACACCTTTTATTTAAACAACATATTGATTACTCATTATTCATTGTATACTGTTTCAAACTTATCAACTTAATACTTGAATTAAAACAATAGTCATGCCATGCTCCAGCATGCACACTATGTTTGTCCAAACAATAGTTATACCATACACCAAGTATGCACACTATGTTTGTCTATGATCCTTACTTTGTGGAATAGATCAATTGAACATAATTCCAATGATTCCCATTTCACAATCCCAAATCCTTATTGTAAATGTAAGAATTCCAAATTCCTGCCATTTACCGAAATCTGTTAGATTCTAAACTTATATGCATTGATCCTCTAGTAATCAGTATGCACAAAGTTACAAAGACTTGGCAACAGACATTACAGAGTATTCCAATGGAGATCAATTCCATGGAAACGAAGTCTCAAATTCAAACTACATTGCTTTGAACATCCTTCTTGCATTAAGTTTTCCTAATCTTACACAAATTGAATAACTTCCACCTATAGAGACATTTTCATATTCCCATTTTGACTATCACTTCTGAACAAGAGTTGCCTCTTTTCAGAATATGTCAATATGGTCCTTTCCAAAAATTTACACCATACTTCCAACTGTCCATGAGCAACCAATCTTTGGTAAACCTCAGATTGTCCTTGACAATTGCTTAATCAATTTTAGTCATATCCAATTCCAGACCTTTTCCCCTATTAATGCCCTTGGCATTTAGAAAATTTAGAAAGTATGAATATTATAGCACATGCAATCGATCCTATATCCAAATCATATGGGACACGATTCATGATGTCTCACATAAAGACATGATACTAGACCAGTCTTTTGCTATAATATTTCTATTTCTATTTTCCATGTTCTCATAATTCAGATTATGAAAAGGGATGCCGTAATCATAATCGAATTCTAGAACGCAAATAATATTCCCATATATAGAATTTCCTTATGTTGAACCATTCCAACATAACATTCATATATATATATATACTTGACTAAATTTGATTAAAATCTCACGATCTAAGCTGTTAGATTTGAAATGAAGTATAATTTCCTCTCCCTTAATTATAGCAAAACAAGTTTTCCTAATTGAAACTTTTGTTTTCTATAATTAACATTGCTAAATTGCAACACTTATCATAATTATCATGCTCCCACTAACATGATAATTATCAGCATAACACTTATGCTCTCACTAGCTTTGACATGTATCCAGAAATCAGTTGGACTTCTAGAAATCAATACTTTATTGACTTTCTTACCAAAGTTCAGATTTCTGATACGAGATGCTTTGATAAGACTGTATTAAAATCATACATCTTTTCTTAAATAGCTCACATGTATGTCTAAACAATTTTTAGAACTATGAAAAGGGATGTTGTAATCATAGTCTCAATTGTTTAGACCTTTTCCGTTTCTCACAAATACATGT